GAAAAAAATGGAAACAAGGTCTTTGCAAATAGGGAAGGGTGGAGGGGGTGAAGGGAGGGCAAGGGAAGGGGAAAAAAAGAAGAACCAAGAAACTCATGTAATGGTACAAGATCCCAATGATGAATGTAACTGTATTGTATACCTAGAATGTACCAATAAAGCTAATGGGGAAAAAAAAAGAAAATTAGTATCTAGAAATTACAAATTAAAAAATAATTTGTCAATGGAAATAGAAGGCTTGATGGAGTATATTTAACTCTATGTTGAGTAAAGAGTTTATCATTTAATATTCTAAGTGATCCTCCTCATCATTTATATGTTTAAGAATCTTTGTCACTGTATGACTCCTAGAATATTGGTTACATATGGAAAAAAAGCTTTGGAAAAGATTAGGGTTTGTTTTCTATTAAAATTACAAAACATAATTATATAAAATGATTTTGTGTAACTATATATAAAATATTCCATTATATTATTTACATTGCATACATGTAATTATTTGTATATATGTATATACTTGTCATTTATATTTCTGTTGTTTTTTAAGTTTTATTTCTTATGAGTAAGATTAAAGCTTCATCTGATTCTGATGTTTTGTCTTAAATTCTTGCCAAAAGTAAAAGTAATCCAGTCAAACAGTTACTAAAAAATATAACCTTTTCCTCTTTTGTTATAACACAAATATCTATTGCTTATTTGTAATATATTAAGGACATTTTTCTCTATGTGTATATATATATTGGTTATATTTCGTGCATTTAGTACCTATTGTGTTAATATTAGTTGCCAACCAGGTGGCAAATTCTGCAAAATAAATATATGTTAACTAAAGCCCTAGGTAGGTAGTTATAGAATATTTAATTAGTAAAGATATTAATTTAAAAGGCATCTTCCCTATGCTAAATCCTGTGCTTCGTGCTCTGAATAAAGTAATGCTGAGAGGAAGGCAGACAGTCCCCTCCCTGCCAGTACTTCCTAGGAAGGTGAAGAACCTAGCAGAAGATAAATTCTTTGCCCCAATAAATGTAAAAATGAGACTGTTACAAAGAAACAGAAACATATCTGATAACAGGGATTCCTCCTTCTCCAGAAAGCAAGGAACAACTTCCTAGTGAAAGGGAAGATATATCATCCAAGGTTTAGATGGAATTGGTTAAGTAGAGAAGTAAGCCAGTGGAAGGAGAACTCTGCATGTGTTTAGACACTAAGAGAATGACATAAGACCAGAGGCACAGGAGACTAAAGATCGCATAGAATTTGGCAATCATGGGAATGGGTGTGCTTATGTGTAAGAACAATAGCAATTCATTTGTGCAATTTAGCAGGAAGATGGTATCATTACATTTTATATTTTAAAAATTTGAAGTAACTGGTAAATGTGTGAGATGACATATTAATTCTTGTTTGTGGTGATTACTTTTCAATGTATAATTGTATCAAAATATCAAGTTATATCTAAATATATACAATTTTTATTTGTCTATTATACTTCACTAAAGCTGAGAAAAATCCTGGTTAAGTGCAGATCATTCCACTGACTTGCATCTCTAAACTATATTGAACACAATTAGGAGGTCTTTCAGCTCAATGTACAGTTAAAAATAAAAGTAATAACTGAAATTGAACATGTTTAAAGCTCAATAAAAGGATCTAGTGGAGAGAGGTACTGAATATATAAATACAAAGACATAATTGAATCTAATGTACTTGATAGTGAAGAAGGAAGAGGTGCTGAAAGGAATAGTTTGAAATTCAGTTTAGGGTATGTTAAGTTTGAGGAGTCTGTGAAGCATTAAATGCATGTGTTGAGGCAAGAGTTTGGATAGTAGCAGCTAAATATTATCTGAAACTTAAGGAGAATTCTGGGATAAGAATGCAGACTTGGGATAGGCCAGGAAAATAGGGCTTGTAGAAATTCATCAGTGAGGATAATATATCACCTAGGGACATTTTATAAATGGAAGATAACTGGAAAAAAAGGACTCCTAGGGAATATTGATAGTTATTGGGAAGAAGAGAAAGAAAAGCCAAGAAATCTAAGCAAAAAGTGGGTACACAGAGATGGGACAGGTAAGATGTAGTCCTCGTTTCAAAAATTATCTGAGTAAAATGGATATAGTATAACCTCTTCTTTCAATGATTCCAAGAACATTTTCACTGCATTTTATGAAACTAATATATAAGAACTCTAACGGAAGAGAACATGTTTTAAGTATGTTCGGAAAACACTGAGATTTCTATGTATATTTGTACAGAGAAAAGGCAAAGTCTTTCAAAAGCTTATCATTCATGTGATTTCACAGGGAGTCAGTGCTCATATTTCATATTTTTTAAAAATGAAAAAAGTAACTACAATATGTGAGGCTATGAGTATATTAATTAGTTGGATTGCGGTAATCATTTCAAAATGTAAATAATAAATTTGAAGATTACAGATATTCCACTGTGGACAATGCTAAAGTCGTGATTGATTTAAAATTGAATTTAGATAGTGATTGAAAAGGATTTTGACAATAAGGTCATGTGCACTGAAGTAGAAATTCATTGGACACATAGGGAAAATCGTGCCCACGTGTAGGCAAGCTGTATTGCATATGGGCAGCAGTGTTTTTATGTATTAGGTCACTAAGTGATTCAGTCCTTCTCTGTAGCAGATGGAACTATTGCAATTTTTAGGACATGACTACTATTACCAAAGTAAAGTGGAAAAAAATCACATTGTCTCACACAGATGTGGTCTGGGAAAAAGCAGTATTTTGGTGAAAAATGTTTCAAAACAAGTCATTGGGGCCTTTTATTGCCATCACAACATGAAGTTACCTATGAAAGGAATTGTTTTGAGAAGACACATTAATGACTTTAAGAGGCAGAGATCTTAGGGTACCTAATTTGTCTTGAGCAGGAGGGTTTTCTTTTTATCATTGTTTATTTGTTCTTTTTACCCTTCAAACAATTTCAGTCCATTATTTTACACTATGTTCCTTGCCCTATCAGTTTATAAGACATTTCGGGACACTTTCCTGACTTGAGTTCTTCTATGACTTTGAAGAGTTACCTGGCAGACCTTACTATTGAACTACTAATCAGCAACAACAACAAACAAAACAAAAAAAATCATAATAATATAGAAACATGCATACTTCTCTCGCTCACTTTTAATTGTCACCTGCCACCACTCTGTGTAAGCAGAATATTGTGCATATAAATTTAATTATCTATCATTAGACTTATTTCATTAATTTTGTGCTATAAACAGTATTTCATTTATTGGCTGTGCTTCAGCATCCTCTTTCATAAATGTTTCATGGTGAAGTCTGCATAGATTGCAGTGTTTGTTGAATAAACTCAATTATTAAGTGTACTGTTCTGATCTTTGCATAATAATTTACATAACTACCACCAGAAATAGATTTTTCTCTCCTAGGAATATAGTCTACAAAGAAAATGTTATGAATTTTCATTGTAGTCTGTCAAATTTTTTCCTCTGGTCATATTAAAGTATTGTTTTTAAATGGAATATTTCTTTTTAAATTTAGGGCATGTTCTTTAAACAATCCATCATATTCTGATATTGGTAGGATTTATTAAAATATAGTGCTATGGTTTGTTGATTCTTTCTGTTGACCATTAGTTTTTTCTAATGACCTTTTCCACATTTTCAGGGTGAAACAAAGATCCTAAAACTAAAGAATCTTCGACCTCAGGACTATGCTAATTATAGCTGTATTGCTTCCGTGAGGAATGTATGTAATATTCCTGATAAGATGGTATCATTTAGGCTTTCCAATAAAACAGGTATGGAACTATCTCTGTAAGTTACATGTCTATTTCCTTTAATTTTTAAAAAGACTCTTTAACCTTCTTGTAGACAAAATGATTTCTACAGTATTTGCAGGAAGAAGTAACTATCATTTTCCAGAATAGTCATAAATGTCTGCAGTGTACACAGTACAGTTACTACAATTTACTCAGATAATGTCTTTGGTAATATAGCATATACAATGGCGGTTCCTTAAAATATTGTATTTATAGATGTCACAAATAAACCTGTATCATGATCAAAGAGATTCTTGAGGAATATTAAATACTTCACATTCTAGATTCATGATCTAAGTTGCTAAAAGTGTTGTGCGATTCCAAAGCTGTATAAAAACCTTTCTTTTACTCAGTCAAGAAAGCTAATTGATAATTTCAGGTAGGTGCTTTTAGGAAATACTTTGTAGAAAATGTCAAAAATTATCAAGATTGCAAATCAAATTAGTATGCATTCAATAATACAGACCTCAGCTTATCTGCAAACAGATGAAGAAATTATTGAAGAGTAAAGAGAGAGCTGTCTTTTATATGATTGCAAATAAAGAAATTATTTCATAATAAATTATTATTTCAACTGTTTTTTAAAAATTCTGTGGCAGTGGTACATTTTACTTTTATATAAGTATATCAAAGCAAAGATTGTTAAAGGTCACTTTGTTGTGTCTAGAATTAGATCACAGTTCTGTCCCCTTCTAGCTACTATATCTTGTTGAGCAAGTCACTGAACTCTCGTTTGCTTCATTTTTTTACTGAACTCAAAAAGTTGTAGCAATGAATTAAGGAGTTGACATTTGCAAAGTATATGATTACTTCTTCCAAGAAAGAGCTAATCAGCAACACCAGCCAGCTTGTTGGTGAAAAGAATAAATGTTGGACTTTATTGGAAAATTAAAAAAATAAAACAGCTGTGTTCACAGATGTACTGAGTTCCTAAAATTTTGAAATATTTATTCATTTATCTATTCATTCATTTATTTATCAGGAACTTCTTAGGCCCCTAATTTGTGTAAGAAATAACAGGTTTAAGGATATTGGCTAAGATGTAAATTGCTTTAAACTACACAAAGCACCAGATAAAAGTCATCAGAAGGAGCTACAAGAGCTATGTGAGAAATAAAAGTAAACTTTATTACTGAGAGCAAAAAAGATTGGACAGAAATCATGTTGCAGAAAAAGTGAAAATATAAAATTTTAGTGGCCCTAACACTCATACAACTTAATCATCTCATGTCATTTTTAAAAAAGGAAAGAGGATAGTGAGAAATAGAAATAAGACATTAGCATATAAGAATTGGCTGTAATTATCTTGATCTTGGCATGAAATCTATTGTGAATTATTATAACTAATTTTATTTTTCATTGCTTTAATATATTTTTTAAGATCCAGGGAGAAAAATAAAAAATGAAATAGAGTAGGTACTCTGAGATGGGCAAAGGCATTGCAGCAGAATGAGAAAGTGCAAAATAGTGGAAATATTGTTATTTATGTTGCAACCTTGGCTTAAGCAACGCTGTATTAATTTTTAAAGGTTTTCACATATATTATCTCAGTTTATCTTTATAACTTCTAGGTGGCTTTTTATCATGCTTTTTCCTGTCATCTGACACATAACAAAACAGCCTGTGGTGAATAAAATATTCTCATTGGGTTGTTATGAGAATGAACTAATTCAAAACAGATAAAAATTGTTTAAAAGCTAAGAAGTGCAATGGAATTATGTTTAATATTTTTATGCTGCAGAAATATAAGGTTTTATTATTTCCCAAGGAATCACAGCTCATAAGAGGTAGGGACAAGATTGGTCCTAATGTTTGAAGAGTTATTTTAAATAACTCTTAGAAGATGGACCAGCTCCTGAGCTTTCACAGAGCTAGAGAAAAGTGAACTAAAATGTTAAGCCAGAGTGTCTTATTAAGAATAAATAAGGACTTCTTACTTCAAAGTTGAATGGGGAAGAGTACCTTGAAAGTTTTCAGAATCCCTGAAGTGTGTTTGAAGCGGCTAGGTGATTATAATTCTTAGATGATTTTTAACAAATAGCAACTCTGAAAACAGAATCTTGACTACCCTTCTTCAAGTGAATGCAGGGCTCTTGTAAATGTGGCTGTTTAATTTTAGCTTTCAGCTTTCTCTTCTATTGTTTATTTTCCTGACTAATGTATATCTAGATTGAGCAAACAAGCAAAAACTATTATTCTCCTTTATAAATTATCTCATAAAAATTTGAGAGTGATATTCATCTCAAAATGAATATCAGGTTGTGGTAAATAATTTGGTTGCAAAATATGAGCCACTACTTGTCTGGTTCCTTAGCGACTGCAATCAGACAGTCCTGTGCCTGCTGCTTTACGTATCCAAACCAGGTTTGCTTCTGCACTTGTCCCTTCTGGCTGTGCTCATAGCGGGACAGGTTTGTGCATTTCAAATAGCTAATTTATTGACGTAGCTGTCAAAGTACACCAAGAATAAATGAAGCTTAGAGCATCTTCATCCCAACAGGTCTATAAAATGACCAAAGAAGTACACACAGTTCAGCTCATCACTCTTCTAACACAAGAAGAGGAGAATGAGTCACCAATGCCAACATCAGTGAGCGATCAGGTGCTCTTTATACTCCTCAGTGTTAAGGGTCTCTAAGTGGCACAGGTAAAATGTCCGGAGTTTTAACTCCTAGTCTTGCAAAATATCTGGAGAAAGTAATATTGTGAACATTGCAATGTTTTGTTAATCTCCTCCGTAATCCAATATGGTTATGAAAGTGTCAAATTTGGAAGTTATTTTCATAATTGATGTAAAAAAACTGAACTCTTTGGTATAGACAAACTTTCATTTCAGCATCTCTGTGGTCAGACAAATGTTTAAATTACAATTATTGTATAGATTTGATTTGTACAATGTCCCAGTTGCTTCACATGTTAAGATCAAAACAATGACTGTCACCAGAATTTCTGAAAGTTTGCAAAAAAAAATTTCCCTATGGGGTAGTTTCTTGGGTCCATTCCATTACTATTGAATTAGGCTTTCTGATGGCTTGGCTGGTAGTATATACATTTTAAACAAGGTTAGATAATTGCTTGGGATAACAATAAAATCGCTTTTTTATCAGGCTAGACTATGTTTTATGAACCCATTTTATTTTGAGGTAGGAACTTTTGTTAATAGAAATCAATTTCTAGAAATACTTAGGAAAACAATGTCTAGGGTTCATTTTAAAAGCCATCTAAAGATTAACCAGTGGTGTGTTTTCCAGCTCCTAATTTTATGTCAGCTGTAGAAAGTGTTCAATAATTTGTGGGCCCCACTGATTGCTTGTCATGCTTTGAAAATGTGTCCTGTCACAGAAGTGTCATGATGTGGCATGGTTATTTCACCTTTCTTAAACTTTATCATGGCAGTTCATTGCATTTTACTAAAAAATAAGTTAAAATACATGTTTATTTATTTCTTGTCATGTACACAGACCAATTAAAATAATACTGTAGGGGGATCTAGGGATTGAGGTTATTCTTCCGTTTCAGAAGAAAAATCACATTAGCTCTTCATTAGTAAAGTATTAATGTAGCTTTATTTCTCACATCTTATTAAAAAAAACCCTAACACTGTAAATTTATAATCTAAACAAATACATGTGTATTTTGAAATGATCATGATTATGGTAACTGACGGTAAATTGTTTTAAATTTCTCAGATTATGTGTATTTCCAATATGAGGGCACATAGGAATTATGGTAAAATGAATTTCATTTATTTTAATGTGTTTCAAGTACTTATGTGTTGATGGCTCATGATTTTAAAGGCAAATAAGAATTAAGTAGGCTACCTATATTAGGATGAAAAACATTTTGTACCTTTCCTGAGAGTTCATGATGAATTATGTAAAGAAACAGGACAGGTGGGACTAATTTTATTTAATTATATAGGTCCTTTGATTTAGTCTGCTCAACCTTCCCATTTATAAAAATTATCTAATTAGGATGTCTTCTTTCAATGTTCATTACATCTAAAAAGCAAGTTATCACAAAAGTATTACTAGTTATAGAACTCATAGGAAACTCTGCCTCCTCCTCTTCCTTCCTGTCTCCCTTTTTTCTTGTATTTCTCCTTTTTCCCCTTTTTTCCCTCTCCCTGTTTTTCTTCCTCCCTCACCACCTTCTCCTCTCCTTCTCCTCCTCCTCCTCTTCTCCCTCTCTCCCTTTACTTCATACATTATCATAGAAGACAAGGTTAATGTCTCTCTTCTCTATTACATTATTTTATGTAATTCACAGGCAGTTATAAGTGCCCATCAATTGCTGTGAACTTAAATATCTAAAGGTTTTGTATGCTCTGATCTATTAACAGTAGTGTTATATTTAGAAGAACATCACCTATTTAGCTAAGTGTTAGAAGAAATAAAATAAAGTTTAGAAGAATTTTGGTGGCTGTGGGTATGGGACAAAATGCATAAACACCCAGTCTTGTGTTAGGTATTCCCTTTGTCATAACCGTTAATATGCAAAAGGAAGCAGCAGTAGAAATTTTGCTGTCACCTGCATTTGATACTGATGCCAGCTATTTTCCCTAACTGAATGGATTTTTAGCTCCCTGCCTTTACACGACCACCACAAAATTTAAATAATTATTAGAACCATTTATTAAAATCTAGTTACCTATTTCACCAATAGCCACAGCTTATAAGAAAGACTATCTCATTTGTGAAAGATACATTGTGTAAATCTGATGATGACTTGTAGTATTCTGTTTGGGTTGCCATAGTGAATACCAGAAACTGGGAGGCATAACAGCAGAAATTTATATTCTCACAGTTCTAGAGGCTACAAGTGCAAGATCCAAGAGCTAGCCAGGTTGGTTTCTAGTGAGGGCACTCTTCTGGGCTTGTAGGTGGCTGCTTTCTCATCCTAGTCTCCTATGACCTTCTTTCCATGTGTGAATATAGGGAGGGAAGGAGGGAGAGAGGGAGGAAGAAAGGGAGAGAGAG